CCTCATCACCATCATCATCAGCATCATCATCATCATCATCATCAGCATCATCATCAGCATCATCATCATCATCATCAACATCATCATCATCAGCATCAGCATCAGCATCAACATCGGCATCATCTTCAGCATCATCATAATGATCACCAGCATCATCATCGTTATCATCATCGTCATCATCATCGTCATTATCATCGTACTCATGATCATCATCATCATCATCGTCATCATCATCAGAATCATCATCGGCAGCATCATCGTCATCAGCATATCCATCGTCAGCATCATCATCATTATAATCATCACATTCACCATTATCGTAATCATCATCATCATCAGCATCAGCATCAACATCAGCATCGGCATCATCTTCAGCATCATCAGAATGATCACCAGCATCATCATCATCATTATCATCATCGTCATCATCATCGTCTTTCTCATCGTAATCATGATCGTCATCATCGTCGTCAGCATCATGTTCATCATCAGCACAATCACTGTCATCAGCAAAGTCATCGCCAGCATCATCATCATTAGAATCATCATGTTCATCAGTAGCGTAATCATCATCATCATCAGCAGCAGCATCATCCGCTTCACCATCATCATCATCAGCAGCAGCAGCATCATCCTCCCCATCCCGATCCTCCTCCTCATCCTCATCCTCGCCCTCATCCTCCTCATCCTTCCATTTTACGCTAGACCAACCTAAGGTTTCCCTGTGGCGACTCGGATCAGGAAAAAAAAGAAAGAAAAGAAAAGGAACAACAAACAAAATGGCGGGCGCCGCGGGCAACGCGGGCAAGCGAGGCCAGGAAAAGAATCGACAATTGAGTAGGCGACCGCCAAGTCGTCGAAGACGGCACTATCCTTAGTAAGATAAACCCAAGGAAGCCTTAGAGTAAAGAGCATAGAATAAGCCTGGTTGAACATAGAATAAGCCCGATTGGTTCAGTTCGTACTGAGATTTTTGCGCCGTATGGATTGGGAAAAAATTAATAAAAAAAAAATAAAAAAAATATTTTAAAAATAATATATATTAGATATATTAAAAAAATATTAGGCAGATGGTACAGCCAAAGCAAGACTCCGCCTCCCTCATCCTCATTCCTCCTATTTACTACATCTCCTCCTCTCCTCCTCATACCTTCCCCTCCTCCTTCCCACTTCACTTACTCCCCCTCCCCCCCTCCCCCCCCCCTTCCCCTCCCCTTTCCCCATCATCCTGCCCCTCTTTCATCTCCTCCTCTCCTCTCCCCCTCCTCCTCCGCCTATCTTCCCATTCCCCCCCCCCCTCTCCTCCTCCTGAGTACTGGTGGATGACCAGCAGGCAAGCGAACAGCACGCTGCGGCCGAAGCCGCCCTTGCAGTGCACCGCCACGGCTGGCGCGCAGCTCGCCGAGTCGTTCCCCTGGGATGGTTAGATGTAAAAGGAACATGGGTTTCATGATCTTCAATAGTTAAGCCTGGGGCTTCACTACGTGTGGTCGTAGATCATTTTTGGCGAAGCTCAGGGAGAGAACAACGGGGGAGAGCCATGGCTTTGGCAGTAATGAAGTCCGTTAAGCAATATGGGAATACGTGCGCACGCGCCGGGCAGGCCGGCCGAAGGGCGAGGGGAGGCGCGCGCGCGCGGAGACCTTTTCTCCACTTGACTCACAAAGGTAGCTGCGGACAGTACTGATGCACGCATCATCGATGGATCGGCGACGGCCTTGGCAATAAAGTTTACAAAGACATACTACAAGTATTGTGCGGCGGCGGCAGCGGCAGAAGAGAGGATGCGGAGGGGAGCATGTTAACTCCCCCCACGGCGGAGTGCGTAGAATCGCCCCGACCCCCAACCCACCTGGCCTGTACAAACGCACAGCCACTGGAGCGAACCCCAAAAGCATTTCACCGCTCAACGGTGGTTGCCAGGGGGCGGAAGACCGAAGTAACCCGACGTACCCCACCTCCGCATAGAGCCGGCCATTCGTTTCTAAAAGATCTTCACTGTCAAGTGCTAGACGAGGGAGTCGATCCCAAGGCACACGTGCTGAAGGTAAATTGTGCAACCCTGTCGCTCAACAGCTGGCTTCACGTCTATTCAAATCCAACGTATGGCTGAACGCCCTTGCCCTTGGTGTAGTTTATGTTACACCGGAAGTGCCAGTCATAGGAACGGCCTGCCGCAGGGGCTACGCCCTTGCCGGAGCCGGCGCACGGCCCTGGTCGGACCGACGGCTGGCCAGTGCCCTCGGTACTGCTATTGTCCTTGTTCGCCAGGAAGGCGCCGAGGCGGCGCCGCCAGGGGGCGCCGAGGAATAGCGCTCATCAACCTGCTGCCCGGACATTGGCCGGCCCACGCATCGCGAGGTCGCGCAGAAGAAGCGGCCGATGGCAGTCGGCCACCATTCCTGCGACCGTCGCGGTTTGACCGCTGGTCGCCCACGCATAATGAGAGGCAGGAGGAATCAAGACAAACAGCGCCCCCCGCTTCGCCAACAGCGCGGGCGAACTCCGTAAAGTGTAGAACGAACTAAACCGGGTATAGGGCAAACGGAGAAACACGGATTCGGGTATCAGGCAAATACAAATCGAGCTAACAAGGCTGGCAAAAATAGAACGTCGCACTGGGCTGGAATGCACATGCTGTCCAAAATCAAATCAAATGTTGTGTTGTCAACGTTGAGGTAAGGGTGGTGATCAAATCAAATCCTCTGAACGTTAAGGCAACGCTGGTGCACGAAAACGGTAACTGGGCAGTGTCTCTGGCCGCGGCGGCTGGGCCGCTGGCCGGCCCAAAGCCACTCTGAGGGTGTTGGAATGATGGGCACAGCAGGCGGAGCGGGCGGTGGAGCCGCCGCGCTAGTAGCTGTTCCCGGGACGGCTTGGCCGACCGGCGACGCAAGGGTGTTGAGACCGCTGGCGTCATGTCGGCATCCGTCCCCTAAACGGCTTGGCCGTCAGAGTCACCTACATCGTGACAGATCCAATACGCTCGAGTCGGTCACACCTACGGTCAACACAAAAATTTCGTTCACTTGTTTATCCTCCTTTGGCCGTTACAACATGTTCTGAAAGAAAATCCAAAATGTGAACACAATCATTCGCTTGCCGGAGCTTCACCTGGAACCTTCCGCGAAAGGCGTTGCGCCTTTCGCATCCTCGGCTTGGCCGGGCGCGGAAGCAGCAGGGAGTTGCTGGCTTGACGCTAACTGGTGTGACCAGGAACTCCGGCGGCTTTCGTCAACACCGAAGGAGTGGACGTCGCGTTGAGCAACTGTCTAACTTCGGCGGCGACCCCCGCAGGCGGAGGCCATGATGAAGATAAGTCGCCAGCTACACTGGGTGAACCAGGAGCGGGAGCAGCATGGCTTCACTCGTCTACGTCTTCTGCAATTGATGGCCTGTCGGCCAACTCCCTATTGCACTACCACCACTCTTCATGGAGCACCATAACCACCACTGCTGGCTAGGCCAGTGGATGGTGCCGCTGGCATATCTATTGGTTCTGCTACAGGCCCAGCGGGCTTACCCTTGTCAGAGTGCTTCCAGGCGTAGTTCAGTTATCCGCTTGACACAACAGCCCCCCCCCGCACTCCCCCCGGGTTTCAGGGGAAGGCCGTCGGAAAATAGAGTTCCAACATACCTGGGGAAATTGCACAGATACGGCAGCGGCGTCAAAACGATGAGCGCGAGGGAGGTGCACAAGTATCATAGACTCCCCCCGCACAAATGATATCGCATACCGCTCCACATCGGCATTCTACGTGGGATATGCGATCTAAGCAAGATCCAATCTGGCAGCTAAGTATATGTCACGTGCGATTCGGTAATCGGCAAAATAAAAGTGACTGGGCAAGGTAGCCAGTCTGTCGTTGTCTGTGTGACTGGGCAAGGTAGCAGAGCAGAGCTGCAACGACATACGAGGCACGCTACGCCGCAGGACGGCGGCCGCCGAGGAAAGGCTTGCCTCCCCAGCCCTCGCCGACTTGGTCAGTGGACCTCCCTTGAACCAAAGGTCCCCGCCGACTGAGTCGGTCTGGAATCTCGCTGGCGATCCCGGCCCCACATGGCCACGGGCCTGTCATCCCCTAGCACTCCCCCCGGACTGTCTTTATTGGACTCGTCCTCGGGGTCGTGGCGCGGCGCGGCCTCGCCTCCTAGTGGAGGCGGCGGTAGTGGCAAGCCAGGGTCTTCGTCACAAAACAGTTTGGCCGATTGCGGGCTAAACCTGGCCCCCGCACCGTCTGCGACGGCTGGGGCCACAGCAGGCGGGACGGTCACTGAGCGCACTTCGGTCATGGTCTTGTCATACGCTTTCCTCATGGGACATTGGGGCTGTCGGTCCTCTGCGGTACCGTCTAAGGTGTTACGGTAAACTGCCGGTCGAACACCAGCGGCACGACGTTACTTTCTGGCCAACTCATACCCCCGCTTTGTGGACATGACAACTCTCAACAATGACTCTGGCGGGGCATATATCGTATATAAGGTTCGGAAGGGAGGAGTGGCGCACCCAAACGTGTACAAATCGGCGCAACCGTCTGGGCCCAGACGGCTTGGCCGTTGAGCCATCCTCAGGGATCCTTGCATTGTGACAAAGACAAAACACAGTTGTACCAAAAACGACTCTTGTCCGCGTCATATTCCTTCCTGCGTCAGATGGGTAAGAGGAAAAAATGAGGAAACGAACGTTGCCAAGTCAACCAGGGATGGATCCGGAAATGTGTGAACAAGCTCCTCTGCTGCGCGTCATCCACGTAGCCAGAGCCATATAGCCTCAGCCCGGATACACACCGAACAAAAGGGTCCCTGGGATTACGAATTGGGGGGCGCATGAGGGAGGCTGCGACCGCTTTGAATCGCTCGGCGGGAGATACCGACACCTCAACCCCAGCATCTTCTGGGTCTGATTCAGATGGCTCGCCGATGTTGGCCGCGCCAACGCCATCCGAGCCCTCGCAGTCAACAGCCACTGATTCGTTAGCTGCGTCACACGCGTCGGAATCCAATCTCTGATCCGTGGCGAAAGGCAGGCATCCTGAGACCTCGCATGCACAAGGGATCTTATTCGCGGCGGCGCAGTCCTCGGTTTAGCCGGGCTGCGTGCGCCCACGCAGCCTGCGTTTTGGCCACGGCCGGGTGACTTAGAGGGGCTTACAAAGGCAGCGATACCGCTGGGTGTCCGACTCCAAACGCATTCGGGTGCCTAGCGAGGCGAATAGTAGAAGTAGATGACGGCAGGCACAGAGTCTAACGAAGACGGGAAACGGGACCCGGACACAGCGGGCCGCCCGCCAATGTAGCTGTGGGAGCCAATCAACACGTGTGTGTGCAAGTCTATGGTCACACGTGACTCTGAACTGACCGGGGTGGGGAGCCCCCACCGAATCCATATCGCCCAGAAACGACTCGGCACCTGGCGCCACGCAACACAACCGCCCGGGAGTCACAGACTTACCGGCGGCAACCGCACACATCTACTGACCCAGCGCCGCTTTGCCCAATAGGGTCAAGCACGAAGACTTGCCCACAACGGTTTGGCCCACTTGAGACCGCTAGGCAAAAGTTGAACATTAAGACTGGCGGTGCAACTGAACCGAAAGCCAAGGAAGACCCACGGCAGCATTCAGAGTGACCGACTGCAGAGCCTGCAGACCAAACACATTGCACCTCTACAAACAAAACTGACCGCACAAATATTTCGCCCACACCCTGCGCCATAACGAAACTCAGCGACTGGGGGTACACGGAGCCTGCGCCCTTGCACTCCACTACGGCTGAGCCGTGTGGAACAGCAACCTTGCGCCCCTCGGGCTCCAACTATGGGTGCCAAGATCCACTCGCAAGGTCTGACTCCCCGTGTGAAGCCCCCATCGACAATGCCAGCCAAAATCCACTCACAAGGTTTGACGCACGTCGATGCCCACCACGCTGTGTGGGACGGAACTACCACCTACTCTTCGCACTCAACGGCAGCCCTACGAGGCCGTGGCGGTGCACCTTCCGTCAAGCGATGGCGGGCTCCGCGATCGAGGGATCGATTCGGACGCGGAAGCTGCAACGATCTCTCTTGGTGGACCGGAGACAGCTCTGACTGGGACACGGCACAAAACAGCGCACTGGGCAAGAGAACAGGGATTCTGACAAGCTCTCCAACATGTTCTTTGCGCTATTGTGCTGAATGGTCAGGCGCACGAGCACCACAGCGCCCGGGCCGGGTGCGCCAGCTTGCTGGCTGTGCGCGCCGGCGCCCGACCAAACAGGACTGCTGGCACACTCTGACAGGCGCCGACAAGACATCCGCGCACAAGCTCAGCAATCTAAGGATTTCAACAAGCTCGAACGAACACTGCCCTGGGGTCACCAATCAGAGGCGGGAGCAGCCATAGGAGAAATAATTAATGCCATTGCAAGTTGCGCTACTCAGCAGAAGCGCGGATTATACAAATTCCGCGGCGAATCATATCATATTCATGTTGCGAGCGAGCCGCGTCCCAAGATAGCTTCAGCTCTTGGGTGCCCCGCGCGAGCGGGGTTGGACACGCGCGGGCGCCTGGACTGGTTGGACCGGCGGTCTGTCTCTCGCCTACCCACGACCAGCTGGCCGACGCAGGCATCGACATATCTATTTCACGAGGAGAATGAGAAACAGCGCGAGGGGCCCGCCTCGATCCCCCAGCCCCCCCCCGGCACTGGCGGCAGGGCCGCTAGCGCCCAGCCAACGTCAAAGGTGGCCTGGGGCACTTGCGGCATACCAACACTCCTCGCCGCGCGGGCACTCGCCCGTGCCCCTGAAAGCGTAGCAGATCTTCTTTCTGCCTTTGCCACGGCCTTTGCCTTCACGGCGGTCCTTACGCGAGCTGCCGCTGTTGGCCAATTCCTCGGCAGCGGCGTCGATCTGTTCACTCGCCGGGTCCTCTGGGGCAACCAGTTCGTCGCCTGTCCTCTTCGGCAAAACGTCCGTCTCCTGCCGTCGGCTGAGCCGGGGCAGCGGTCTGCCTGCTTCCGCCTCCGCCGGCTGGCCCGGTAGGCAAAGCACCCCAACCCCGGCCTCGCTGATTGAGGGTCGATTCGCGCTTGTCGATGTTATAACCTTCCTTCTCTCGCAACATAAGCATCTCAATATGTGCTATGAGCCACTCGTATGTACGCATGCCCGTGCCGGGCTTGTCTGAGGACATATCGTAAAACGGGCAAACCATGTTCAACTTCTCTGGTTTCCTGCGTTGCTCGAGGAAGTGGGCATGGATCGAACGAAACGCGCATCTCGTCGGAAGGGGGTCGTACGCCATAGAGCTGCCGGTACACATCCGCCCATTCATTGTAAAAACTGGCACAGATCAGCATCGGGGCGATTGGGATCTGTAACGACCCCTTGAAGACATCACGCGAAATACGATGCTGACCCAGCTCCGATCTAACTGAGCACCAATAGCATATGGCCCTTACCATTTCGCGCCCTGTCAGAGGTCTCTTTTCATTCTGGGCAGCGAACTCCACGCGCTGAATTTGGTGGGGGGAATGATTGCGATGAACGGAAAGGTTGCGATTTCTACGTAGTTTCGTAGACTTCTCAATCAAGTTGGCGGCAATCATGATGTCAAGACGCCGGAAGCGGCCCGGGCATCGAAGATGTTCTTTGGGCACGGCGGGGCCCATAGCCCCCATAATCCAAAGCTGCGCCTCCTGAATCTCAGGGGGCGATCCAGCCACGGCACGGATGGTGAGCATCTGCCACTCTCGGGTGTTTGTAACATATGGGATGCCCAACAAATCGATCTCTGCGTCGTTGCCACACTGTCGCCACTGGCCCAACGGATCAGCGCTGCAAAAATCTATGGGGCCGTTAGGCCCGCCCGATCCGTCTCCACCGCACGGGGGCCCAGGTCGGCCTGGACCTCCTGCGTCGCCCGACGGCGTGGCCGCTGGCGCCCCGCCTCCACCAACACCTGGCGGCTGGGCCGCTGATGTCCTCCTCGGCGGGTCTTGGGTGAAATGGTGAAAGTGGGCAGGGTTCAAGTCATCGGCCACGCCATAAAACTCGGCGTTGAAAGGTACGTCGTTGCCTGACACACCGGGCTGGTACGGTTTCTCCAACGAGGGCCCTGTCACGGTGAAATGGAGATTCAATGGCGGCTTAGAAGCGACTGATTGAGACCGAGACTGCATGTAAAGTTTCTTTTGCTTGAGGGACTCAGCGATGGCCGCTTCTAGGACTAGCACCTCTCTGTCAGACGCAGCTTTGTCAGAGCTGGTCTTTGGCCTGCTCTACCAACCTTTTCATGGCAGCTTTCTCGGCATGAATATCGTCGAGAAGCTTCTGTTGCTGGGCCACAAGATGGGGATCTCAGCTGTCGCGTTTCCACTGCTCATCCCAAGCTGCTTCAGCCTCTGGCAAATTTTTCTTTTTATCACAAGCAGTACATCGCTTCGCGCCTATGTCGAAATGCTCTTTGCTGCTGGGAGAGCCACAAGTCACGCAAAATGCAATCTTTGGCGGAGTACACATGTAGCAGCTCTCGGCAGGGCCCCCTCGAATGGGCTGAGGTTGTGGAAAAGCCTTGACACGCAAGGGACAACCAAAGGTCGATTGCGGAGGCGGCTGGACAGCTGCCGGCTTGGCCGGCGCCGGTGCCTTGAGAGGCGGGGGCAAGGGCGGCCCCCCCTTGGGGGGGGCCAAACTAGATCAGGCCTGGTAATTGGCACCTGGCGGTTTGGCCACTGGCGACTGCTGCCCATGCACCCCTGCCGGCTGAGCCGGTGGGCCCGCGGCCTGGGGCGCGGGTCGCTGCTCAGCCTCTTTCGCTATCTCCGCTGTTTTAACTTCCGTCTGCACCGCAAGCTGCTTGGCAGCTGCAGCCTTCTCGGAGAACTGAGCCTCGAGTTGCTGGTCAAGCTGCTGGGCGGCCTGGGCGATCGCGATTTTCTCGGCCTCGGCCTTGGACCGAAGGGCGATAGCAAGTTTCTGGGCGTCTGACTCGGAGAGTTTCTTCTGAGCTTCCTCAACAAATGCTTCCATCCGAGCTCGATCGATCCTGGCCTGCTCATCTCTCTGTGCTTTCTCAGCTTTGGCATGCTCTTGCATGGCCTGGATCAAGAGGTACTGGCAGTTATGTTCATCCATACTGATGCAATCACGACAAAGCCAACTGACGCTGCATTTGGGACAAACCTCTAAGCATTGCCCGCAGACGGGACGTTTGCAGGGCCCCCCCGTTTCGCGGGTTTTCCCCGGGCATTTGTTTTCAGCTCGAGGCGGGCACATTGGGCCAGGATCCCAACAAGCATCACGCACAGAAATCGTGCTGACACTTCGCAACGACCCCGAACCTGATCGAGCTCCAGACCTATGGATCCGAGGTCTGGCTCGACTCGAGGCTGGAGATCGCGCTTCTCTGGGCCTCAAGTGAGCAATACTTGGCGGCTGACGTGGCTCAGACGGCTGAATCGCTGGCTCGTCTTGTTCATCACGCTCAACCAACTGGCGAAATGATGCTATGGGGTCTTCGGCGTCGTCCGCTTCCGCTGCCTCAGGGATCGTAGGCTGCCAATCGGTTGGACCGATGACACGCCTGAAGAATCCTTCTTCAAGAGGAGTGGGCTTCAAGTCGTCGTCCTCACTCTCGTGTTTCTTAATCTGCGGAACCGGCGTGCGGCCTAAGGCTTCCCTAGTATGCCCAGACGGCTGAAGAGACCTAGACGAGGGTTCCTCCAACTTGGTCGGGGCCCCGGCTGTCGGATGAACTGGTGGGCGAACCTCACGCGAGATTTCAGCCTGCCCTGGATTCGCGCCTGAGGGCTCTGAGGCACCATTCGACCGCGCCGATTGGGTCGGGGGCCGTCGGTCCTTGCCACGAGAGGGCAACACGATCTGAAGAAGGCGGCTGCCCACCCTCTGGTTCCAATGGGGCATCTCCGAAGTCAGCGTGTTTTTGCTGATCGACTGTTTCTGCCTCGGATCGCTCACCGTCTGGGACGGGGCAACCGATAGGGCCCTGGAGTGGGAGCTCTGGGTCAGACCGACCTGGAAACGTGCGGAAATCAGCAAGCTCGAAGTTACCTTCATATGAGCTCACGTCTTCTTCGTCTCCGAATTGCTCGTCGCTGTCGTGACCGTTTTGCCCGTCCAAAGCAACTGGAACGACCTGAGCGCCCCGGGGTTCGTCCCAATCGTCAGGGACGATGGGAGTTTCCCCAAGTTGCTCGTCCTCGTCGTGGGCTCCACTGGCTGGGCCAGCGACCCTGGGGCTCCACTGGCCGGGCTGCGTGGGGTTGCACCAAGATGCAAAGGCTCTGCGCCTGGCAACGCCGGCTTTGCCAGTCTGTTTCACGGGGGTCTGGACCCGATCCTCCAGCAACGAACGCCCGGGGGCATCGTTGCGAAACAAATCAATCGCAGGAGCCTTGTCCCTCAGAATGCACGGGCTATCCGGCACAAAACGTGGAGAACACCAACTCGACAATGGCTTCCGTCTCGCAGCGCCGGCTTGGCCGGTCTGCCTCCCGGGTGTCTGATCCCTCTCCTCTAACGTCTTATTACTTGGGGAATAGTCGAGAGACAGATCAATCTGAGGAACATTCGCGAGATTGAGAGGAGAAGGGCGGCCCTTCAGGCCGCGTCCTTTCCGAAGTTGTTCAACATGATGTTATGATTGTGATGTGTCGAGCGAATATACTGCCTGAGCCTGGCTCATCGAACCCAAAACGACTTGGTCGTTGGTTTCGGCTGATAACCAGTCGTTCCTTTGGGAATCGTGGTTAGATGTAAAAGGAACATGGGTCTCATGATCTTCAATAGTTAAGCCTGGGGCTTCACTATGTGTGGCCGTAAATCTTTTCTGGGGAAGCTCAAGGAAAGAACAATTGGGGAGAGCCACGGCTTTGGCAGTAATACAATCCGTTAAGCAATATGTGAATACGTGCGCACGCGCCGGGCAGGCCGGCCGAAGGGCGAGGGGAGGCGCGCGCGCGGAGACCTTTTCTCCACTTGACTCACAAAGGTAGTTGCGGACAGTACTGATGCATGCATCATCGATAAATCGGCGATGGCCTTGGCAATAAAGTCTACAAATACATACTACAAGTATCGTACGGCGGCGGCAGCGGCAAAAGAGAGGATGCGGAGAGGAGCATATTAACTCGCCGCAGCGGGCGGTGCCCTGGCCTCTGGCGCGAGGGCGTCCGCCACCTCGCGCAGGAAGGACAGGACGATCCGGTGGCAACTCACGGGAATTGGACCCTTGGAAATGGGCACCAACACAAACACCAGGGGTTGTCTCCACGGGAGGAAGATGATCCTGGATTTGGGTGTTGGTGGTAATCTTTCGGCCGCCTATGAAGCCCGAATATTACCACCATCACCGAGATCGGGATCATTTTCCCTTGGTGGAAACACACCGTTGATATTGGTGTTCGTGTCAATCTCTAAGCATCCGAGGGAGCCTCTCATGTCATCCAGCCACAGATCCGACGCTCCAAAAAAAAAGGATGGAGCGGCGGGTTTCGGGCCGCTTGCGACCTCGAGGGGCCCTCGCGGGGCCTCGGGACCGGCACAGAGCGACTCGGGACGAGAAACTGGCCCTAGGGAAATGGTCCGGACCTCCAGTGCCCATGCATCGAAGTAATTGGAGCGGCCAGGTGTCTGGGTCCTTGGAAATAAGAGGGAGGGGGCCACAACCCTCCCAGACGAGCAGTTTTAGACCCCTTTTCCGCAAGGGCGGCCTTTTGCCCAGACCCCCCTGGAGCCCTCCAAGACAGCTCAAATCAGACCTCCCCGAATCAGACCTCCCCCACTTGATTGCGGAATGGGGAGTGCCTTGCTGGATCCCGACGCCTGCCGACGCGAGTCGACGCTACTCAATGCCGAGTCGGCGCTTTCTCATCAGTCACCGCGCGCAGGCCAATGCACCCTAAAGACGGGATCACGAGGACATACCAAAGCTCCCATGACTTGCGACCGAAGGATGAGCTGGGGCGGAGGGATGGCGCCGTTGGCATCCTGGACGAAGCTGTCCAGGTGGCGGATGCCCTGCTCGGGGATCCACTGCCCCGGGTCAGTCCAAATCCGGGTCCGTCGGGCCTTGCAAGATCCTGCGAGATCCTGCGAGATCCTGCAAGATCTCGCAGGATCCTGCACCCAAGCCCGGATCAGCACAACCCTTGCCCCGCAAGATCCTGCAAGATCCGGCGCTCTGACTGACCCCCGTTTGCGCCTGACCCCCGTCTCTTGAGCCCCAACCTGAGCCCTGATGTAGGGGAACAAAAAGCGACATAAACATAAAAACTCGGAGGTCCGCGCGGATTTCTCGGATCGGCACTGGGGCCCCCTGGCGGCGCCTCCAGCGCCGCCCCTGGCGCGCTCCGCGCGCCAGGGAGGGGGGTCCAGCGCCTATCCGAGAAATCCGCGCGGACCTCCGAGTTGTTATGTTTATGTCACTCTTTGTTCCCCTATGATGGCCGCCGGGTCGTAGCTGCCCCCGATGCCGGCGAGGCCCTGCTCGTCGCCGGCGTTCGCGCGCACCACGAGGCCGACGCCGTGCTTGAGGAGCAGGCTGACGAAGTCGGGGGCCTCTGGGCGACCGGCCTCCTCGGGGCCGAGGTCGGCCGCGTGCTGGTAGTCCTCGACGACGACGACGACGACGACGACGACGACGACGACGACGACGACGACGGGTGGGAAGGGCGACGACATGACGACGAAGAGTCGGGCGTTGCTAGAAGGGGCGCTGGATCAAGGCGCCCCCCGGATTTCCCCAGGGAGTCCTTGCACACGCTGTGCAGGCTGGAGTTCCTGTCGTTCCTGTCCTCGACGTACTGCGGGAGCCCGGGGCTGCGCTCGTTCTTGCTCTCCGCAGCCTCTTCGGGGGGCTCATGCTCAAGCTCACGTGGCCTGTTACCTCGAGGTCGTCCAAAGCATCTGTCGAGCCTGGCGAGTCAGGTTGCAGATCATCTGCAGCGAGCGGCGGAACATCCTCTGCACCAGCAGCCCGTGGCCCGAAGCTCGAGCAAGTCGACGGGTTCGGGTCTGAGATGACGGTCATCGGGTCCGCTACCACCAGGATCGCGGCACGGGACCAGCCAGCTCGCGTCGCACTCCAGCGCCAGGCGCCGATACTGGCTGACGCCCAAGTCCACCAGCTGGGCCTCGAGGCCAGCACCTCCCGGGGTGGCCCCCTCCCACGCGCCGAGGCGGATCCAGCCTTGGCGGCCCGCAAGCTCCAGGCCGTCCCAGCAGTGCCTCACGCTCATTACTGGCGGCTGCGCCTTCTCTGGCCTCGGGGAACCCAAAGATACCGAGGGCTCCAAACTTCGCGCTTCGCGCTGCGCGAAGCGCGAAGTGCCAAAAACTTCGCGCTCTCGCGCCGCCTCCCAGGGGAGAGGAGGAGGATGAGGAGGAATCGGAGCCGAACCGCGAAGCGCGAAGCGCGAATAACTTCGCGGCCTCGAGGGCGCCCTATACCGATACCGCTACTCCCCAGACCTCTCCTGGGGAGCGTTCTGACCAAAGGTTCGACGCGAACTCAACGGTGGCGACGAGGGCGTCCGAGGAAACCCGACAAGGGGCAAACGGGGCGAGGGAAGCGTGAAGTCGGGCGTGTCACCCTACAGGCAGATCTTGGACGAAGAATCAGAAACCTGACCTGACAAGAACGGGAAGCGAATGTTCGAACGTTCGTTGCAGGTGTGGCATCACATGGGGACGTCAAAACTGGAACGCTTGTGCGAACAGGAAGGGACTGCGCGGTGCCCGAGTCAAAGATCCCTCGAAAATATACGACGCTCGCGCTCCCGGGGCGCAGATCCCTCGTAAAGTACACGCGATACGCGCCTCCGAGGCCACGACCCATTGCAAAGTACTCTGGGTTCATGCCTCGGCGACCAGGACCCACAGAAGTGCAGCCATATTCACGCCCTGGAACCGCTATTACTTGTATTGTGCGCAAGTGGTCAGTTACCACGCGGCCCCCGCGTCCACCTTCAAGATCCCGAGCTATCCGCCGTCCCCTTGGGGTGCGGTCCGGCTGGCTTGCAGGGGGGGGAATCTGGTTAAACGGACTAGATCCCTCACCCCTCCCAGGAATGCCCAGGATGCCTCCGGCCGTCTCCAGCCACTCCAAAACGCTTCAAGACGGCCCATTACATTCCCTACCTAGGCTCTGCCTAGAAAGGTTCTTACTCGGTATGCTTAAAGGGCCGGGCAGTGGACCTCGCCCCGGGCGGTTCCCCCAGGATCCGCCCCGCGGTTCCCCCAGTCCCCTGGGAGCTTTAGGTTTAGCTGTAGCTTTAGTCTTAGCTCTAGCTTTAGCTTAGCTTTAGCTTTAGCTGAAGCTTAGCTTTAGCTTAGCTTTAGCTTAGCGTTAGCTTAGCTTCAGCTTAGTTTTAGCTTTAGCTTTAGCTTAGCTTTAACTGGGCTTTAGCTTAGCTTTAGCTTAGCTTTAGCTTAGCTTTAGCTTAGCTTTAGTTCAGCTTTAGCTTAGCTTCAGCTTAGCCTTAGTTTAGCTTTAGCTTAGCTTTAGCTTAGCTTTAGCTTAGATTTACCTTAGATTTAGTTTAGCGTCAGCTTAATGTTAGCTTAGATTTAGTTTAGCTTTAGCTTAGATTTAGCTTAGCTTCAGCTTAGCTTCAGCTTAGCTTCAGCTTAGCTTTAGCTTAGCTTCAGCTTAGCTTTAGCTTAGCTTCAGCTTAGCTTTAGCTTAAATCTAGCTTAAATTTAGTTTAGCGTTAGCTTAGCGTTAGCTTAGCTTAGCTTTCGCTTAGCTTTAGCTTAACTTTAGGTTTGATTTAGCTTGGCGTTAGCTTAGCTTTAGCTTAGCTTTACTGTTACTACTAATGCTGCTTTCCTAGGGGCTCCAACTCCTAGGTAGGGTCGCACTGGGATAATTTTGAATACGACCGGCGATAACCCCAAGACGGTCCAAGAGGCCTGTAACATGAAGCCCTCTTGGATCCCTCTGGCGCCGTTTTCAGGCCCTCTTGAGCTGTCTTGGGGCTGTGTAACCCGAATTCGGGATAAGGAGATGGAACATCTAGTGACCCTCGGTCCATCCCGCCACCGCGCTGGGGCATTGAGAATGAGACGAATTGAAAGTTCGTTGGGCTCTCTTGGGAGGCTTCTCGCGGGCCGTTTCGGGTCCTCTTGGGGCCTCTCTTGGGCCTCTTGGGGGCCTTTTGGTGCGTTTGGGGGGCCTCTCGGGGGCCTCTTGGGACCTCTTGGGCGCCTCCTGGGGCCTCCTAGGGCCGTCTGTGGGCGGGATGCTCCGATTTTTGATTCGGGCTCACCCTCTTGGGCCCCTCTTGGGGCCCTCGTGTGCCTTCTTGGGAGCCTGTTGGCCGTCTTGGCGCCCTCTTCGGCCGTTTTGGGCGCCTCTTGAGAGTCTCTTGGGCCGTCGCGGGCCGGTCTTGGGGGACTCTTGGACCGTCTTGGACCCCTCTTGGGAATATCGTGGGCCTCCGGGGCCGATTTTCGAAGGATATTTCGAACGAAACGGGCTTTTTTGAAACCTGACCGGGCAAGAACGGGAAGCGTCGCTTTGTCCACCAGGCATGTAAAATTACATGTGCCGTGCTCCTGTGTGTTCTGCCGTGCTTCCGCATGGCCTGCCGCGTTCCTGCGTGTTCTGCCGTGCTGCTGTGCATTATAATTAAAGTTAAAGACGGGGCCTTCAAGGCAAAGTGGTGGGCCAAAAGGCCAAAGACACGCCAGAACGGGGGGGGCGCCTAGGGCCGCCGCCCGCGGGGGCCCCGCAGGGCCACCCACCCGAGAGGGGCCACCGTGGGCCGCCTCACGGCCCCCCAGCGGGGCCGCCTTGGGCCACCGCTCCAAGGGAACACGCCTGCGGCAGTACACAGGACTCCCCACACAGCAGAGCGCGCCTCGCGCGCCTACACACCCTAGGGCAACACACGAGAGCGAACGATGCATATTCCTGACTCACTCACTCACGGACGGCGAGCTGCGGTGCGCCAGAAGGCGGCTGACCCTGCGGCTTACTTGCCTTCCGCTTGCCGAGCTGCTCGCGGCGGCAAGCCTCGCCGCCCCCACTGCCTGCTCTGCCGTGGGAGCCGCTGGGCCGCTGCTCGAGCTGCTGGCAGCGGCTGAGGCCCCGCCTGTAGGCTCCGCCTCGCTGCCGAGCCACTCCAGGTAGAATGCCAGGTGTGCTGAGCTGCGGCGCGCCAGGCGGCGGCGGACCCTGCGGCTCACCAGGGCGCCGCTGGGCGCGGCGCCCGCGGCTGCGGGCCCCCCCTCGGCGGCTTCGCCAGCTCCGAGGGCGCCCGCACTCAGGCCTGGCCGCTGCTGGGGCAGGCTGGCCGCCGACGCCTCCTCTCCCTGTGCTGCCGCGGGAGCCGCGGGGCCACCGCCCGAACTGCTGGCCGCGGCTGCGGCACCGCCTGAAGGCTCCGCCCCCATGCCTAGCCAGTCCAGGCAGCGCCCCTGGGCGAGTCCTGGCATTGGCCCCTGCGAGCGCAAGGCAGGGACGCCGTCTGCTCTCACTCTCTGCTTGTCCGCTCGAGGCCTGCCACCAGGATGGAGTCCTCGCTCCCACAGGCTGCGCTGGTTCCTGCCTGACTTGTTCGCCAGGTAGCTGGGCCCTGGGCACTGCGCCTTCAGGCGAGACTTGCCTCCTGCCCGGCTGCCCAGCACTCTGTAGGCGCCACACTTGGTGCACGCTACGATCTCCCGGGCGCCCTCGCCTTCGCCCGCGCAGGCATCGCCGAGCACGTGCCCCAGGACGCTGAAGGCGACAGCGGTGGCCGAAAGGGCGGCCGCGCTGCTCCCCGTCGAGCGGCTGCCCTCAAGGCGGGGCCGCTCGGCTGGGGCGCCGCCGCCGAGGGCCTCTCCAGACTGCTGGGGCCCCGCGGCCGCCGCGGACCGAGCCTGGCCGATCCCGCCAGCAGGCGGGGGCCCCCCACTGCTCGAGGCCGAGCCAATGACGTACTGCTCGCTGTCGCGCCCGCCGACATCCTTGATGCACAGCGCCTGGGGCCCGAGGAGCGTGGACTCGATCTCGCCATCGGGGTCCGTTACCTTGCACCGCTCCGACTCGAGGTACCAGCCGAGCTGTACCAGGGACTGCACGACTGCAACGGTGGGCAAGGCACAGCGCCTCCCCGAGGTGCCGCAGGCGCGCCTGGCCGCCGCCTCCTCCGAGCCCGCAGCGCGCATCCCGCGCGGCTGCCCGCCTGGCTGCAGCGAGTTCGACATCACTGTCATTGCCTCGAGCCGCTCAAGTACTCCAGCTTGGCCACCGAGATCGCCCCCCTCGCTAGCGCCGAACTCGAGGGCCCCGAACTCGTTCTCCACGCAGGCCGATGTGGTTGCCGCCTCCACATCGCCCAGACAAAGCCCCTCATGCCAGAAATACCGAGCCACGCGCGAGGGCCGCCAGTGCTGCTTCCAGACAGTTGTGAGCCCCTGCAGCACTACCCCGAGGGCCAGGCCCATGGCGTGGGCGGGGGCCGAACCTCCGTGGCGGCACTCGCGCCTGTTCACCGCGCCGAGGGCCGCGCTGGCCGTCATGGGCCCATCTGCCTGCCCCAGGGACTCGCGCAGGCTGCTGTCGTTGACGCTGTGGATCCCCACCAAGGTGCACACGACGACCTGGATCCACTGGCAAGCCGCCTCCTTGGGGGCGCTCGGGTGGGGGCCCCCCTCCCAGGACCAAACGCGGGGCCCCAGCTGCCAGCGAGCGCACTCCACGCGGTCGGGCACCTGAAAGGCTCCTTCTTCGCGGGGTCGGCGAGCAGCGGCTGCGTCGCCAGGGAGACAGACTGGGCGGACCAACCCTCTGGGCCGTCCCAACTCGTGCAGCACGTCTGGCTCCAAGTCGGAGTTGCCTTGCTCCAGCCAGGGCACTCCCGCGGAGAGCTCGATGTCGCCGAAGGCTGCGGAGTTGCCGAGGCTGGCCCCTTCGGGCCCCTGGGCGCCGCACAAGCCCGCCGCCTCGGCGCCGCTACCGCCAAGCTGGCGCGGCCCCCCCGCGCGGGCCTCACAGGGCCTGCTCCTGCACAGGCGGGCATCCTGCGCCCTTGCCCCCAGCAGGGTGGCCAGCGCGGCGAGCAGCCAAAGGGGCCAGGTCCGCAGCCTCGGCTGCCAGCCCCCGCTTGCAGGCCTGCGCCACCTGCGGCCACTCGCCGAGCGCGTTGCCATACGGCTCGGCTTGGCCGCGCTCAGATGCGGCCTGGGGCAGCCAGGGGCAGCCGATGCCTGCGAGGTTGCCGTCGTTACCGTCGTCGCTGCTGATCTCGCCCATGGGGCAGGACTCCGCCTGCGGC